GGATCCGAGGTCGCGCATCTCAAGAGTAGGTTTCGTGCGATCAAGAAAGGGCATTTGAAGCCCCTGGAGCCGCAGCCATTACCAAAGAACCTCCCTCTCTCACACAACCCAGCCGACTACTGTGCCTTCCGTCAGCGAGCTGGCCATGACACTGACATGTGCTTTTGTCTCCGCCACGAAATACAAGATCTGATCGACAACGGGGTCATCATCGCACCAAGTCCTGCAAAGTCTATCGGCACTTGATCAATGAACTTGGGGGGAATAATGTGACTATGTGATCGGGAGATGAACCACCTGCAGGTAGCGCTCGATTAACTCCAGACGTGGGAATGGCATGCACTGTTCTGAGCAATATGCAAATACCAGTTTTTGTGCTTTCTGACTTGGGTATTGGGTCAGTCTTGTTGTGTCGTACAGAGTCAGTCTTTTCTTACTGAGTCAGTTGGGTCTGTCTTGTTGTACCGAGTCAGTCCTGTTTTGTTAGAGTCAGGTGATTCCAGGGGTGTTACCTTGGACATCACTGTTTTGTTTTGTGTTTGTCTTTTTTCTTTCTTTTGAGTCTGTTTCTATCTTGGAGCCAGTAATGCCAACAGATTTGAATGAACAGCAGTGATTTTCACATTCTTGTGTTCGCTTCTGCCTTGTGCCAGTTGTGCCAGAAGTTCTGAATGAAACGACAGTGCTTTTCACCTGCTTTTTTGTGCTTTGAAAATCATTGCATTGACCTAAGTTTTTCAAAACCTTTTAAACATTGTGATGAAAACAAAGGGGAAGGAATTCCTCGGGATTTGCAAAACTTTGATCAAATTGAGAGAAAGAGAGGCGTGCTAAGCCCTTAATGAATAAAATCATGTTTGTTAACGTGAGTACTGAGAAGGATCCTGGCTTGATCCAGATTGGTCCCACACCGTCTTCAGCACGAGCGATTAGTCGCTTTCTTAAAAGATTTCAAAAAAAATGTTTCACGCGGTCCTACGAAGACCTGTGTGGAATCGCTCTTGAGATTGTGCAGCTTAGGATCGCTCTCAGCCTCGAGACTTGACTCCTCATTTTCAAACCTTGGACTAGAACTCAGAAAGTTCAAAGGTCAACCATAATGTGAGGCCTGCGTGGCCAGATTCGAAGGAGCCCTCGAACTAGGGGCAAGAAAAGTCAGATCAAGAAGATCAAGTGTTTTCAAAGGAAGCTTGCGAAGCTAGATCAAAAGCCCTCAAACTAGGGGCAAAACTGTCAGATGTGCTCGAAGAGTCAAAAAAAATTGGGATGTTTCTCAAGCTAACAAAGATCGGCAAGAATGCCAAATCCCAGAGGGGAAGAGAGAAGAAAGTATTGCCAAAGAAAAACTGAGTTCCGATCTACAACACTAGGGGCAAATTCAGCCTCCACGGGATGGACTCCTGCATCGTCAGCGAACAACAACCATTTTCCTGGACTCAGATGACTTCAGGATCTCAAAACCATTTGACATGGACTTGTTACACTTTTACCCTTTGAGAGGCTCGCTAGGTCGAAAACCCGGAAGGGCGACCCAGGCAAAAGTTAGAGCAAGAAAAGAAGAAAAAAAACAAAAAAGAGAAAAGAATAAAAGAACAAAAAAGAAAGATGCAAAGAAAAGAACAAAAAAAAAAGAAAATCAAAAAAAGAAAATAAAATAAAAGAACACAAAAATTGAAAAGAAGAAAAACATAGCTCGTAAGGTTGAAAACCCGCAAAGGGCGGCCCTGGCAAAAGTTAGAGCGCAAAAGGAGAGGTTAAATACCCGAGTGTACCTTAACCCCGAACTACGTAAGGCATGATTCCCATCTTTGGGATACGTAGGCAACTTCATTCTGAAGTCCAGCCATAAAACACTCCAAATCGATTGTGCCCATGTAATGGTTTTGATCATCTTCACTTTCTCTGTATCCGAGAATTTGGTTGTGTTCGTCACTCTGAGGACTGACTACAATGCGCTGCGGGGCCATTCAGACAAGGGGCAACTTTCCGTTGCCATTCAATGCGCTGTGGTGCCATTCAAACAAGGGGCAACTTTCCGTTGCCATTCAATGCGCTGCAGTGCCGTTCAAACAAGGGGTGACTGTCCGTTGCCATGCAGCTCCCCTCAAACAAGGAGCAATTTTCCTTCGAATCTGAGGTTGTGCATCTCGAGAGTGGGTTCTATGCTCGTTGAGTAAGTGGCCGTTTGCAAAAATAGTTTTTGAAAATTTTTACTGAGGTTGACTAATTTTCTCGAAAATTGTTCTATCTTTTCCAAAAACTGGACCGTTTCTTGGACCCAAAAAAGGAAAATTTTCAGTGCTCATAGCCTGGCTTACATAATTTCAAATCAAAAATTGAACAAGCATGTTAATCAAACTCTTATGCTGATCAAAATTGTTTTAGTAGAAAATCAAAACAAAAAAATGGTCAAAATGATGAGCTAGGGGCACAGTTGAGTCGGGCTTCCTGTCTTTTCCCTGTTGTCAATGCATTTGCCAAAAGGGCACTTTACCTGCCAGAAAGGGGCACAACTGAAGTTAACAGCAAAAGGGCTGAAAGCTCTCTCACCCTCCGAGCAACAAGGTATCAAGCCAAGTGCGAAGCACGAACTGGACTGGAATGGATCAAGATATTCCACTCCCTCATCTGGACAGATCTGATCACGTCCAAACTCCCTAGCAGAGCATCATCAACCGATGTTAGTTGCAGATTTGCTGCACACCTAGTTGTAGCACAGCCCCTCTGTGGGAGAAACTCACTAGCCACGTGCAGAAGAAGAAGAATCTAGCGGAATGCTAGGGGCAAGAGCCCACAACTTTCTGTTTATCCATCAACCACCTAGGGAAGGGATTTAAAATGAGAGATTAAATAATAGAGAGGTGTGCGTTGAGAGAAAAAGTAAGAAAAAGGGCTTTTTTAGAAAAACAGAGCCTGAGGGCCGAGTGATGTGAGAACCACAAATGAGAAAGGGTGGGAAACAATACCTGGAGAAACTAGCTCCTCGTGCACCGAGAGGTCTCTCACCTTTGTAACACAGCTGAGTGTTGTGTTTGTGCATTTTGTTTGTCTCGTTTCTTGTTTTAAGTCATTTGAGCGTCAACAAATGTGTTTAGGTCATTTTACCTTATTTTTCCTTTGTTGAGTTGTG